ATCAAAGAATACTTGTTAAACATAACAAGATTGGGAAAGATAAAAAATTATGTTTATATATTATTTAATAAATATTTTATACATGATTAGATTTAATAATAAATAATAGTGATAGATTTAATAATCATGAATTTATTCATAAAAGTAAAGCTAATGAAGTAAAAGACATGTTAAAAAAACTGAAAAGCTTAGTGTGGGGTTGAGGCTTGAAAAAAATTAGGAACAAGGGAGAAGCCTAATTAACTATCTTATTTAATAAAATCATAAGATTCATAAGAATGATAATTGAATGAAGAAAGAGTTTTTTAGTACCAATTTATAAAAAAAAGGGTGACATATAAAATTATGTAATTTATAAAGGAATTAAAGTGAGGAGTTATACTATAAAACTTTAAGAAAGAGTTATCGAAAGTAAGATAAGATTAAAAATAAATATATCTAAAAATTAATTTGATTTTATACCTAAAAGATCAATCATAAAAGATATTTATTTATTAAAATAATTAATAGAAATATATAGGGAGCAAAAAAAAGATTTATATATAATTTATTGATATTATTAAAGATTTGTATGATAATGTAGTTTTAGTATTAAATTATAGGGAATATGTCTATTAAAAAAAAGAAGGATCCGTACTAAATCCCTACTTTTTCACATTAATAATAAATAAAATTATTAGTCACTTACGTAATAAACCTCCATAGCATATGTTATTTGCTAATGGTATTATTTTAGTTGATGAGAGCCGAAGTAAAATTAACTATAAACTTGAGTTATAGAGTTAGAATTAAAGGTTTTAATTAAGTGAGATCAAACTTGAATATATAAAATATAATCTTAATGATTCTAAAAATAAATAGAAGAATATAATTAAATTGGATGGACAAGAAGTCGTCTTTCAATACAAAACTTTAGGTATCTTGAATCAATTATTCAACAAAATGAAGAGATCGATGAAGATATTATTTATAGAGTAAAAATAGGATGGTTAAAATAACGAGGGATGTTTGGAGTCCTGTGTGATCATCAAATACATTTGAGATAAAAAAATTATAAAATAATTGTGGGACTAATAGTATTTTATGGATCGGAGTGTTGAGCAATAAAAAAATAATATATATAAAAAAATATATTATCGAGATGAGAATATTGAGATGGATACGTAGAGTTATAGAAAAAAAATATTTTTATTTATAAATAATTAGATATCAATTTGATAGAGAATAAAATAAAAAAAAATTATTTAAAATGATATGAGCATGCATCCACTTAAGAATAGTCAAAAGATTTGATGCAAACCAACTTCCCTGTCAAGGTGATTATTTCATAATATTTTGCCAATGTTTGGAATAACAAGTCTATAGTTAGTCTCATACTCATGCTACATAATAATTATGGATGATGAACAAACAGAGAAAGTTCATCGTAATTTGTTCATCTATTGCCACCATTCATAAGATGAAATCAAAAGCAACAAAGCCACCCCACTGTACAACTTAATAGTCATGGAAATTGATAGGAGAAGCAACAACAGATGGAAATGACTTTTCCCATATCACTGAAATAACTGAATCTTTTCTACGGAGTTTAGCTACAGCATATTAGTTTTCAGACAAACTCGTTCAAACACGAACAACATTTTAGATAACCGTGGCACCTCCTTTCTCCGGTTTGATTGTTGCTATGATATAAATACCAGTAAGATGACTTGGAATGGGCAAGCAGCAGAAGAAAAGAAAAGAAATTGAGAACTATGCTTCCTGCCAGCCGAGTTGACGGGCCCGCCGCTCCCACATTGCTGTTATCTTCTTTTCCTTCCTCAGGGCTGCCTCGGCTCGCTCTCTCGCCTCCTCACAGATCTCCGTTGCAGCAATGCACTTCTCAGCCTCTTTCTGGTATTGAGAAGCCAATCTTTTGGCATCGACAAGGGTTGCATTCATGTGGTGGGCATGTTCCTGAGCAACAGCCTCTTGTAGCTTTAGTTCCTCCGTAAGGAGATCCACAAAATGCTTCTCCATCTCCTTGCTAAGCTCAGGATCATTTTTCCCGCAGTCTGCCATGTTAAATGATGTATTTGAAATAAGTTTTTAAGTTTGATAAGAACAAGAGATGAACTTGTAATAATGGATTCATAATGTTAACAAGTTTGATAACAATTAATTACATGGTAGAATTATAATGCCAGGACTTGCTGAAAATGACAGGCCATGAGTGAACTAAGGATAGCAAACACATTGCCAACAAAAAAATATAGCTATGTCATCTTAAGAATACCACATCACCACTTATTTTTAGGGGCTCGACATGTTCTTACCATTCATCTTAGCAAAATCTCCAGTACTTGAAGCAATCTCAGACATGTTATTTGTCACTATGAACCATATTAATGAACGGTGCCTTGCAATGATTTGAATCTTTTTGTGACGACATTTGGTTCAAGATAATTAACAAACAGCTCCATCCTCTTCTAATTGACTTCACCTCATACAAAAAATCTATCACAAAATGTATCCAGTTTCTGTAGGCCAAACAAAGTAATGGAAGTGTTTTTAACAACCACATAAAATCCTATCTGATGTTGTGCCAAAAAAATGATACAGAAACTAATTCCATTAATGCAAACAAAACTCTGTGAAAAGCAGTATCAAATTTCTTCCTCCACCACAGAGAGAAAAGAAGGGTTACGTTTTGGCATATATACCATTCAACATGCTTGTGTTGATGGGCATATTGCATTTGCACATATTCCTGAAATCTATTGTATTTGTACACATTCCCCTCTATGGTGTTTCTACAAATGATACTTCCCATCACAAGGGATCTGCATCTTTAATGCAGCAAGTGTAGTTGTTCTAAAACGTGGCTTGCACAGGAACACTTGGCATTACTTTGGACCTATAGGCAAGAGATCAACAAAAGTTTTATGCTTTTAAGTTTTAACACAAACCCAAAAATCAAGTGGGAAAATGAGAAATGAAGAATTTTTCAAGGCTATGAAAATTCATATACATTGAGCCGAAAAAAGTCAAAAAGGAATACAAACTAAAATGCAAAGAAGAGGTTCAACTAAGGGAACTTGAGGATCATGACATGCATGAAAACAGAATATAGTGAGTATTCACCACCAGAAGATCTTACATAGAAGATATAACATGCCAGAATATCAATCTGATCTTTTTATTAGCTTAAGAAAGATAGATCCAGATAAAAAAGTGTAGGGATAAAGCTGAGTACAACTGAAATAAAGGGGAAAAGAATAAATATGCTACCATTACTCTGAAAATAATTTGCTCTCCAGGATATTTATTGTCTTACACTACACACATGGGTATTTACCAACTACTGAATCAATACTGGACACAAGAAAAGGGCATAAAATATATACACACACACAAATATATATATATATATATATATATATATATATATATATATATATATATATATTATATTTATATATATATATACATATATATATATATATATTTATATATAACACTCATATATTTTCTATAACAGACAGGTTTTAGTTATGCTATATTCACAATTGCTTCTCTTGTGAGACATTTGCCTGCCTTTTATGGAGTTAGTTATTGAGCTTTACACAGACTGAATGGATCTTATGTCCTACTATGGCTTAATGTGACACTCTAGTATGTGTTGTGCTTTGTATAAAAAAGGAAATTAATATAACTGCTGTATGGGTGCATCAATTTCCCCAAGCTTTGTATGTAACTCTCCAAAATGAGTTGATCAAGTCATTTGGCAGAGATATGAAAACTTAACAGATTTTTTTTCCTTTAAAAAAATTAATATCATACTACCTCAA